ATTCACTTCCGTTCGCGATTTTTGGGGAAAATTGTATTTTTTAAATGGAATTTTGTCCGTTAATTTTCTCGAGAACTGTTAAAGATATGAAATTGAAACTCACTGACCTGATAGAACATCAAATGGAAATACGGTGATCGACCTTTATTTTTCGTCGTTCGTACTTCCGGTCGCGAACGGAAGTGAATTCAAAAATGTTAAATTTGCAACTTTTTTGTTTTCCAATATTTTTCTTCAGGATTTACAGGGTTTATAGAGTGTCTTACAAGAATTCTAAATATGTATTCAATATTTTGATGCGTGCATTTATTGCAAAGATATGACCGATCCAAATTTTGTCCCACTGTCTGGGGTTCGAATCCTGCTGGATGCAGTTAATTTTTTTTCCCTTTGTTTTTCTCTTTTTTCAGTTGCTAATGACTTCTCTCTCTTTGAAAACATGTATGGTAGTTTTTGCTGATTTTTAAAAGCTTTTTTGTCAGAGATTCTGTAGAAAACCTTTCGGCATATACTGAATATCTTTGCATCTATAATATGTCCTTCTAAAACTATTTTAAGGATTTCATTCTTGTCCCCAAAGCTTGACCCATTCAAAAGTTGTCACCCCTTTTGCAATAATACCTTGTTATCGCTACTCCTCCGAAACCGTAAACCGTAGAGATTCCAAGCCTTCATCAGTGTCTTTGACTCATTTAGTGCTCTCTTCATTCTATCATTGCAAAATCATTCTTTGGTCCCTTGTATGAGTTACTGCCCCTGAAAGTTTACGCTGCTTACATTTAATGAACTTTTTATTTAAAAAAAACGGTGTATCTTAGAGACATGGGACCAACTGCATCGGCATATTTGACTTTGATCTTGAAATATAGGTCCAGGTCAAAGGTCAAGGTCATTTAAAAACATAAGAAATTCCTTATATATGTGTAAAATATAGCAATTCACCAAATGACCTTGAACTTTGACCTTGACCTTTGACCTTGACATTGGGTCAAATGAGAAGTAAGGACATGCATCCAGCTCCAGTATCAGGTAAAAACATAGAAAGTAAAGATTTCCTTGAGGTTTTTTTTTTGTTATGACCTTGACCTTTGACCTTGACCCAAAGGTCACAATCAAGCTTAAGGATGTGAAAGTAGTTACAATTCTTAGTTTAAAAGAGGCATAAAATAAATAATTCTCCCCCCCCCCCCCTTTCTTAAAAAAGAATCACATCAACAACAACGTAGAATATTTCTGTAAAATTCAAACCAGACCTCGGATCGACACCAAATTTGGTACAAATGTAGTATAGACCTCAGAGAAACTTTCTCGAGAGTTTTACGGTGAGTCTTATAAGTTTATAGAAGTCATGAAGTTTCACGGCAAAAACTACACTTTCTGTTGTGTTTGAAATGAAAGTGCAGGTGAACGAAGAAATGATCTAAACCTTTTATCGGCTATCTCTTCAGATGTCGTTAGTAGCATTTAATTTTCCTGATATGATACGACATTTTAATACCAAGCATTCTCTCTTTCTTTTACATCTGGAATTTATTTGATTTTTATTTAGAATTAATCAGTTTCCAGAAATAGCGATTTTCGGTATATTAAAAACAATTCTCGCTTTCATTGTCGTGTTTCCCTTCTAAAAATGCCTGTTGGGAGTTTAATTTGTGCTACACATATTTAATTTAACCCAAAGAAATACTTATTTAAATGTTTCATATTTATTTCAGGATATTCAGTCAGAAATGTTAAAATCCGAACCCGATCTTTTAAGCTTACAACAAAGCTATTTTCAAAAAATTAAGCATGCTCACAATATCGATGAATCGGGCTACAAGCCATTAATACATTTTCATTAGGGAACAGTGTTAACGTTTTCTCACGCAGCCCGTCCCTTGTTATTTTATATGCTGCTTGCAAGTTCTGGAACTATTTCCCTTTACGGAACTTCTTTCTTCCCCTACCGATTCTAAAAATACGCTTGTATTTATTCTTTAGTCTTAAACAATTAACTTACCAATTTTATCGGAATGTGTAGCGCAGTGGAAAGCGCACCTGCCTTTCAAACCAAGGCTTTTGAGTTCGATCCCAGCTGGAGGAGCATTTTTTTTTCATTTTTCTTCTTTTTTTAGCCCAAATGACACGGAAACACTTAAAAAGGTGGAAAGGCCTCTAATTGTTCTCTGAACAATTTGTTTACTCGTTATTATTAAGGTCTCCCGATATATATGATAAGATATGAATATGAAGCTTGCTGAGGTGATAGAACATCAAATGCAGATATGGTGATCGACCATTATTTTTCGTCGTTCGTACTTGCGGTCGCAAACGGAAGTGTATTCAAAAATGTTATATTTGCAACTTTTTTTTGTTTTTCAATATTTTTCTCTGTGATTTACAGGGTTAATAGAGATTCTTCTTAGATTCTAGGTATGTTTTCATCATTTTGATTGATGCATTTATTGCAAAGATATGACCGATGTAAACTTTCTCGTATTGTTGCGGGTTCGAATCCTGCTTGGGGGGGGGGGGGGAGATTGTTTCTCTCTTTTTTCATTTGTAGATAATTTTTGCTTATTTTTTAAAGCTTTCTTTAACAGAGATTCTACAGAAATCCTTTAATAATCATGATCTATGTTGAAAGACTGTGTTACATAAACACAAACAAAAAATACCTTCAATAAAGTATTAAATGAAGTGAGGTAGCATAACGATCTGCAGAAAAGTTCAGTCGGAAGACCACTTTTTGCCCTAGCAAAAAGAAACGTATCTAGTTATTATTATTCTTTTTTTCATAGTACAGGCCATATCTCAGCTATGCGTGGTTCAATTTGAAAGATTTTTTCAGGGACGATGCATCATGAATATATCTCCAGGGGTGTCCCTCACTTTTTTGAAATTCACTTCCGTTCGCGATTTTTGGGGGAAATTGTATTTTTTAAATGGAATTTTGTCCGTTAATTTTCTCGAGAACGGTTAAAGATATGAAATTGAAACTCACTGACGTGATAGAACATCAAATGGAGATATGGTGATCGACCTTTATTTTTCGTCGTTCGTACTTCCGGTCGCGAAGGGAAGTGAATTCAAAAATGTTAAATTTGCAACTTTTTTGTTTTTCAATATTTTTCTTTGAAATTTACAGGGTTAATAGAGAGTCTTCTAAGAGTTCTATGTATGTTTTCATCATTTTGATTGATGCATTTATTGCAAAGATATGACCGATCCAATCTTTCTCGTATGTTGCGCGTTCGAATCCTGCTTGGGCGGGAGGTTGTTTCTCTCTTTTTTCAGTTGTAAATAATATTTTTCTCCGTGAAGACATGTATGATAGTTTTTGCTTATTTTTTAAAGCTTTGTTAACAGAGATTCTATCTACAGAAATCCTTTAATAATTATGATCTATGTTGAAAGACTGTGTTACATAAACGCAAACGAAAAATACCTTCAATAAAGTATTAAATGAAGTGAGATAGCATAGCGTTCTGGAGAAAAGTTCGGTCGGAAGACCACTTGTTGCCCTAGCAACAAGAAACCATCTAGTTATTTTTATTATTGATATTTTTCATACTAATTGTTAGGACATTATTTACACATTGAATTGACTACGGATTTTTCCGTTTGCCTGATCATGACAAGGAGCACACGGCGGGTGTGACCGGTCGACAGGGGATGCTTGCTCGTCCATGGCACCTGATCCCACCTCTGATGTTTCTAGAGGTCCGTATTTGCTCTGCTCCCGATTTGTATTGTTTCAATGGACTTTTGAATTTGTTCGTTATCTTCATATTGCGCTGAACTCTAAGCATGTACTTATATTAAGGTCACTCAAACGATTTTATAATTAACCAGCATGCCCACTGCGTACCTTTTAATAATAATAGCAACAACTTATCTGGTGCTTTATGTAACGGGAATGCAATGACATAACATTCCTGCTAAACTTTGCAAGATTAACTAGAGATATGGTGGGCATTGTGCTTACAAAATGATATATACCCCTGCTCTTACATGAGTATAATGGCAGCGCATTTCTTGGCTACCCCTAAGTGTAACGGACGGACGCACAAAAGTGCGTGCAAAGGATGGACAACTCCATCATTATATAGCCCCCCCCCCCTCCCCCATTTTTTTAAGCTGAGGGTATAAAAATATCATAAATATAATTCAAGAAACGTTGCAAACATTTTACAAGCACTAAATTCTAGAAAACCACAATACACGCCTCATGCTAGTGCATATAGGTACTAGGAGGAACCTCAATCATGTTCCAAACTGTGACTTCTTGATTTCTGTTTGACAGGGACTTAGTTAAAATCTGTCCCGTCACACCTGATCAAGGATATAACCAAGCACAGTAACCTTCATTAACTACGATTTTATCGATTGCATTTGTTCCAAGTCACTACAGTGCTATACCTAGGGTATATGAGATAAAAGTAGTGCAAGTCCTCGAATTTAAACCAAGTGAACTTCTGATGAACTAATGAACGTTACTGATATACGGTACATTTCATATCTAATATATACAAATTTAACCTTAATAAAAATAGTTCTACTTCTAATAGTTCCTTCAAAAAATTGACCATGAAACACAAGTATACATTGTACATGAGCTTTTGCATGCATCTCTATTGATATTTTATGTTATATAATCTTACACAAGGACTGATTTTACATATTATCTATCATTTGGCAAATGGGATCTCACAAAGAAGTAAAAAAAAGTTTAAGTATTTGTTATAAGAGATTGACCCTGATCCAAGGCCAAACTGGATTTGGAATACCCAAACCCGTTCTATTCGCGCGGGCAAAACTCGACAGGAACAATTTTGGTTGTAGAACAAGAATTTTCTTGTCAAAGAATAATTAAATAAATAAGTAGATGAATACAAAAAAGAAAGTAAACAAGCAAAGAAATCCATTTTTGAAAATATATAATTCATATAACAAATATAAATAAAACCAATGTTGATGTACAATGTACAAAGCAAATCATTAATAAAATATCGAAGTTAAAAAATCGTGTTATAATGCATAAAATACTGTATTAGTACACGAATACTAGAAACATAATTTGATTAAAGCGCCACCTTCAAGCTTTTCCAAATTTTGGCATTAATTTGAGGGTTTTATTAATTTTAAATAGTGGGTTAGAACCACCCCGTTGCTGCAAATTATTCAATTTCAATACGTTTTATTTCTTATTGGTCGAATACAGTTACGTAAAGATTAGAATTCATTTCTGTTTTCCAAATATTGATGTACACATAGAGTGATATATCACGGCTATATTTAAATTTTATTAATAAAAGAAATCTCGTTTTATCTTTGTACTAAATATAATTGCACTTTCATTAAAATTTCAAAGACAGATTTTTTTTATTCTTTTCGATTCGTTTATGGTTGACATTGACTCTAATAATGAATTCCTTTCTTAATAATGCAATTAAAAAAGATAAATTCAAATTAATTATTGATTAAATTATACTGACAGGCAATGTTTTCACACAGAGAACTTGATTGATTCTTTGATATTGTTCAAATTCAATGTATGTTATTTGGGTTTTCAAATAGCGTGTAATCTTTGTAATTATAAAAAAAATATCACAGAAACTATGTTCTAGGAAAAAGAATTGGAGTAATGTTTCTTTTTATTGACAAGGAACCATACGAGGGGTGATCAAAAAGTTCGCGAACTATCTCTATAATTACAAACCACAATTCAGATCAGAATGAAATTTGACACACATATAGTCATACATATGTTCTATCAATAGCAGATGTTATGTAATGTTTTGCTCGATGTTTGTTACGTCACTCTGTGAAAATGACGTCAATATGTAGGTGACTTGTTGCGAAAAATGATTCACTCGGTCGTACTCGAGCAAGGAACGGCTGTAAAGTTTAACGTATATCTTGGAAATTCCTTTGCAGTAGCATATACTATTTTGTACAAGGTTTATGAAGACAAAAGACTTGCCAGAGGTTCAATCAATAATTGGATTGATTGCTTTAGTGAAGGAAGGGAGATGGTTAAAAATGGTGTTTGTTTTGTTGTAAGTGAAAGCAAGCTGAGGAAGAGATGTGTCCTTAGTAGAGCAATTTGATATAAAAGATCGCCAAGTTACAGTTAGAAAAATAGTTGAATATCTTAACAATAATATAATTATCAAATCCCAAAATTATCGTTTACTTTAGACTTTAAGCATGTCAGATATGGTAAAAGAAGGCGCACATACTATATCCATATCGGATAAACGACGTTCCTAAGACAGAAAACTCGGGTTGTGATTCTCACCATGCTCATTCCGGAAAAGGATATCCTTATCCACCCATCCTATTTCCGAGATTTGGTCATTTCTGACAAATTGATCGTTTGGGTTATAAAAAATAATTTGCATGGTAAGAAATATAAGACTCGGAAAAATCATTCAACTTCTTTGAACAGAACGCTACGGTGCATGTCACGTGACCGCCTGGATCACGTGATTCGCGCATGGGCAGAACGGTGGCAAATGTGCATTAAAATCGGAGAGGACGACTTTTAAAAATAATGAACACTGAAACCTAATTTTATTTCTTTTATGGAAGTAATTCACTTAGTTCGCGAACTTTCTGATCACCCCTCGTATTTGTTTTTCGATGTTAATTTAGCGTCAAAATTAATCTAACATCTAATTGTCTATGTACACTTATTTTCTATAAAGTCATACTTAATTAAACCTTGTTTATAAACGTTTTTAACGACTAATGTTAATATAAGCGTAAAGCCTGAATAAAGTGTCTCTATTTTGAATAATTTCATATAATTCGATGGCAAACTTTTTGAATTAAGTAAAATACAGTATTCGAGTCTAAAACGGAGAAAAAGCTATTCTGAAGGTAAGGATTGCATTTTCAGTGTTTAAGTTATATTAACTGTTGATTGTTTTTAATTATAATTTCTTTAATATTTAAATATAAAGTTTCCCTGAGTAGTTGGATATGTTGAAAAAAAAAGAGGTTCAGACCTATTGCATGGTCTTGGACTTGCATGCAGAGGAAAGGCTCGGTTAACCAACAAGAGTATTAATATCACCGGATGCACTGACCTTGTTTACCTTCTATGGCACAACTATTATATCTCGTTACATAAAATTGCATTTATGAGAAACGTCCAATCACACCGTATAAGTCTTCCCAAAATTTCACCGAGTTTCTTTTTTTACTATTGCACTTTTCCTGACCTTGCGACCTCTGAAATACGACCTTTCACCTCGAACCAACAAAAGTTCACCATGTTAATCGTGCTTCCAAATTGCTAATGGTAATCTGTCCACCGCTCTAGGGACGGGAATGTAAACCATTTTGGGATAAGGATTATGTAACTTCCAGTCACATTTACGAGCCAGTTCTATGACAAATATCCGGATAATCAGTTTAGCGTATTCTTTTCCCACACAAAATCTTGCCCCAGCCCCAAAAGCAGTGTAATTCATTCGATCAATACTTGAATCTCCATCTTGTCTGTCTAAATTTGGAAGCGTGTCCCATCTTGAAGGGTCAAACGTCTCTGGGTCCTTATACACAGGAGAGGTTAGATGCGTGTCCCTAAACCCGATGGCTATAGTCCATCCCTTTGGTATTCGGTAATTCTGAAATGATTCAAAGATAAAATTTGAGTAAAATTCCTTTAAAAAGACATAGAAATATAGAGCTAAAGTAGAAAGTTGTCTCACTTATATTAACCAGGCTTTTCGTTAAAGAAAATACATATATTTAAATGGTTAAAAAAAATTTAATACCCCAACTTCGAATGTTCTTAAAGCTTTTCGATATCCTGCTCCAACTGGCGATGCTACTCTCAACACCTCTCGCACAACTGAATATAGATACCTTAGGCTACATATTTTATTTAATGATAGATCAAGTTCGTCGTCTGAGCAATGTAAAAGCCCTTCTGCGTCTAATTCCTCGCGCAGGCGCTGTAGAACTTCCGGGTTTCTTCCAACAAACATCAGAACACTTGTCATTGCGCTTGCGCTTGTGTCATGTCCGGTGAAGAAGAGTTCTTGCAAAGCGTCCAAAACTTCCGATCTGTCGTAATTCCCGTACTCATTCTGATCCATAATATGATGGATAACACTTCTGAAAGCCTGCTTGCTCCCTTCATTTTGTATTTTGTTTAAACACTTTGATATCTCCTTGTGTATGGTTTCCCTAGCCTTCATTGCCTACAAAAAATGAATTTGTCTATTTGAAGTAAACTAGAACCAAGATGTTTTGTCTATATGAAATGCACCGCTTTTTATGCCCCCTTGAAAAGGGGGGGGGGCATATTGCTTCAAAGCTGTCAGTATTTCAGTAGACCCAGGTATTAATTATCCGCTCATTATTATGGAAACATTTTGCTTGACAGATATCAAACTTAGAGCACGGGTTCCCCCGTAAGATTAGATGACCCGTATTGATTTTGAGGTCACAGAATCAAAGATCTATAGATAAGATATTACTAGAGATAAGATCTTGTCTGTTCAATATCTTGAAAATTATTTGCTTCACAGACATCAATCTTGGTACATTGGTTTCTCTTAAAAAGTATATGACCCGTATATTTTTAGATCACAAGGTCAAAGGTCAAACTGGAAATTATTGCCCACTCACACTTGGTGCACTTAATTCCACTGAGGAATAGATGGCTTCAATTGATTCTGAGCTCCGAATTCGAAGGTCAAGGCTTAAACTGGACATAAGAAGATGCTGACCACTCAATATCTTGAGAACCTTTTGCTTGATGTACATCAAACTTAGTACACTAGAAAATAGATGACCATTGTAGATTTTGATGTCACTTTGTCAAAGGTCAGTGTCAAACTACTCTAGACATAGGATGATATTGTTGCAATATCTTGAGAAACCTTTGCTTGACAGACATCAAACATAATTCTTTTGTTCCACTTACGGAGCAGATGATAATGAAAACACTCAATATCTTTGGAACACCTTGCTTGACAGACTTCAACTTCATACACCAGTCTGGTTTCCCCTTGAAGTATACGTAGTTGACCACTGTACATTTTGGTGTCACAAAGTCCAAGGTCAAGGGCAAATTGAACATACTGTAGGAAGATATTGTCCACTCAATATCTTGAGATCCCTTTGCTTGACAGACATCAAACTTGGTACATGCTTTCCCCTAAGGAGTAGTTAATCACTGTAGATGTTGAGGTCACAAGATCAAAGGTCAAGAGTCAAATTACTCTAGATATTGGAAAGTACTGACAGCTCAGTATATATCAATTACCCTTTACAGTCATCAAACTTGGTACACTGATTCTCCCTAGGGAGTAGATGATACTTGTTGTTTTTTATGTCTAAAAGTCAAAAGGTCAATGGTCAAACAAGATAGACATAAACACTAGATATAGGAAGATAGTGTCTGCTCAGTATCTTGAGAACCATCTGCTTAACAGACATTAAATTTGGTACACTGGTACCCTCTAAGATGTAAATTTATTTACCCTTAATGAATTGAGGTCTGTTAGAGATCAAACTTAGTATTATGTTTGCCCTTGACTAGTAGAGGATTGTTTCCCCTATACTTACTGACATTATAAATTTAAAGTTGTTCCCTTCTTAAAATTGGCACATGGGGGATGGGGTGTATATTTGTTTCTCAAACATTTCCCTTGATTTAGGATCTCGATTTAACTCACAATTGTTTAATCTGACTATATTAATTAAACCAATACATACCTTCCAAAGACCAAGTCCTGGAATTAGTAGAGGTAGGGAAAACATATTGTAAATCATAGTTTCAAACGTCGATGACAGATAAGAAACATATTCTTGGTCAAAGTCGGATCCCATCAACACCTTAGCTGCTAGGGCAAAGGCCAATTCTTTGCACTCATCATATCCATGAATCTCTTTGGCTGACGTCCATTTTCGAATATAAATACGTGTGATCTCTACAATGGATGGTATGTAGTTCTCTAATGCTTCATGAGTAAATGCTTTGATTATAAGTTTCTTTCTAAAGGAATGAACGTCGCCCTCTGCCATTGCCAAGGAGCCATTGCCAAACACCTTTTTGACAGATGATGGCCAGTTCGTGCTAACCAGGGTGTTCTCCCCCATTAGAATTACGCGTAAATGACTTGCACCTGATACGCGAATGGTTGGCCTTCCTAATGTATGGGTCATGTAAACTTCGCCATACTTCTGGCGTCTTTCCGTGTAAAAGTCTGCGTTCTGAAATATGTATAGAAAAGAAATCTTTAATATCTGTATAAAGTCTATAAAGAGCAAGTTGACATGTTTTGCAGTCAAACAAGCAAACATATCTATAATTGGTAGTAAGCAGAGAGGAAAAAAATCATATTCGGAAAAGATTCATAATACGTGTACAATGTATTTGGATATGATTTACAGCTGACCTCCTAGTCAATGTTTTACAAGGAAATAAACATGCTATCATACATGTACCGGTATGGATGGACCCTAAGTTAAGTAGTGCTGAATTGGATTTTTTTTATGATAAATCAAAATTTTACATTCAGGGTCCGCAGTAAATAAGTAAATTTGAGATTTAAAGCATTAAATGCAAAAGCTGAAACAAACAATATTGAGAAAGTCATTTCCTATAATTACATGTCGTTGACAGTGACTTCATACACGTATTCTCCATCAACTTCTCGTTTTGGAGACAAATGAGGTTGTCAGAGAAAAAAAAACCCGGTTTAATTGCGTCATGGGACTTAACAACAAAGCCATTACGAAAACAGAACATTCTCCTTCAATGTGTGGTATGTAATTTAAATCACTGAAACACTATCGTATTTTGTATTTAGAAGCTAACAGAAAGTTGTTAATTAAGATGAAAGTTTGCTCATAGATCGTTTATCTGACTTTGTAATATCTAAAAACTGTACCTTTCTTTTTTTCAGAACCACTGACCTTACCTCATACAAAGCATCGCTGGATACTGATAGACAGGATCCAAAATATACCAAATCAAAGGCAAATGATTTACACATTTATATTAATCTAAATAAGGAGCGTGATTTTTTTCTTTTTGGGGGTGGGGGGGTGGGGGGGTATATATGAGGTGATAACAGACATTGAATCGTCATAGTGAAAATAAATAATGCAAAAATTATCATGTGCTCCAACGTCGGTTATCATCCTCATGCACACCAAATAATTACTTATAAATATAATAACATTTTTACCTCAAAATTGCTATATCTCTGGCTCAGACTTGATACTTGCATGTATATTCAAGTAAGTATGTGTAAAAATTAAGGAATTCTTTTCCATCGGCTTTAATTCCCTCCTTTGGCCACTATCTCTCTTCTGAATCATTAATGTGACATAGTCACACCTTCCGAAGCAATTGTAACCAAATAATGTCAAAAAGAAATAGTTTGATCGATATGCTATGCGGTTAAGAAGGTTTATCGCAGTAGTTTGTTGGTATGTTTATTATTGACAACACATTGGTAAATGTGTATGTCAGTTAATAATTGGAACATTTTATAAAAGAAGTATCTTTAAATATAATATGTTCTTCGACCACAACAATCTTTACATATTAGATATATTTTTTTTAAATACCTCTCCTTGTGTATACAACACAGTTATACAATAAGTTTCTACAGTCAGCAAGCAGACATCCTCATTTGAATACATACATTTAGTTGACAAAAATATTTAGTGATGATCTTTGCTAGATTTTCTTATAAAAAATATACTCGGTCAGACGTGATTGATTTAGATAAGTATGTTAAACTGAATGACGACAAAAATTGATAAAAGCAGAAATACAGATTACGTAGGTACATAATCAGAAGCTTAATGGGTTGAAAAAAAGAGAAGTTTCAGTGATAGCATGAGTGCATGTTAGTTACAGAATACGACCATAATTTTCTTTCTCAGCATATCTGATGGTTTCGTTCAATACCGCGATACAGACGAGGCGGTTATGGAATTAAATAATCAAAAACTTAGAATTTCATCGAATATAAATGTCTGTTTTCCAGCAGTAATTGATCTATTATCTATAAATGATGTGTCTGGGATTTGAAAAAAAGACCAACCGAAAAAATAAACCGGCGATCTTTTCGGTGCAGATCTGTGAACTGAGAAAATAAGTCCAGAAGTAGGTTTTACATATGTAGCTCTGTGATCGGCCAACTAATTCTCTCCAGCAAGTTGCAAACATATACATAAGACAGCAGTTTAGTTTAAAAGGTTTTTTAAAAAAAAAATTAAAAATCCATTTCTAAGGTATACATATCATACATTTCTAAGAGTGTATGTTTGACTAAATTGGTGCTCGTTTAAATTAAACGTTTTTGTACGACAGTTTTACATTGTTTAAAGAAAAAAAAAAGAAAGATTCTGAAAATAATTTACATGACTGTATTTTTTTTGTCTTTGTCAGTTGCACAGGAACGTCATTCTGACTCAGAAATCATGCATTTTTTTTTTTTTTTTTTTTTTTCTTTTTTTTTTTTTTTGCTAATATTTCCTGAAGTTATTTGGAAATCTGTTGATTATTACAAAAACAAGAAGACATGCATTGAGACGAGAACAAAATCAACAAAATGAAAGGCCTTGGAGATGGAGTCTCGAATCCAAGAAATACATGTATATAAGAAGATTGGCTCAAATCATAATTCAGTGTCGAGCAAATAAGATTGACTAGAATTTGTTTTTGCTTTTGCATGATTTCGTTATAAATGCTAAAATGTGTTTATGTTTCTCAAGAACCAATGGGCCAGGAAAGATGAAACTCATGTGGAATTATTGTCAGGTAGTGTAGATTCAAGTTTATTCAAATCATGACCCCCGGGGGTAGGGTGGGGCCACAATGGACGATCAAATTTTACATGGGAATATATAGGAAAAATCTTCAAAAATCTTCTTATCAAGAACAGGAAAGCTATGATTGATCATATTTATATGGAAGCATCCTCAGGTGGTGTAGATTCAAGTTTGTTCAAATCATGACCGCCAGGGGCAGGGTGGGGCCACAATGGACGATCAAAGTTTTACATAGGAATATATAGGAAAAATCTTCAAAAATCTTCTGCTCAAGAACAGCAAAGCAATGAGTGGTAATATTTATATGGAAGCATCCTCAGGTGGTGTGGGTTCAAATTTGTTCAAATCATGACCCCCGGGGGTAGGATGGGGCCACAATGAACGATCAAAGTTTAACGTAGGAGTATATAGGAAAAATCTTCAAAAATCTTCTTCTCAAGAACAGCAAAGCTACGATTTGTCATATTTATATTGAAGCATCCTCAGGTGGTGTAGATTCAAGTTTGTTCAAATCATGACCCCCGGGGGTAGGGTGGGGCCACAATGGACGTCATTGGACGATCAAAGTTTTATATAGGAATATGTAGGAAAAATCTTCAAAAATCTTCTTATCAAGAACAGCAAAGCTATGATTGGTCATATTTATATGGAAGCATCTGCAGGTGGTGTAGATTCAAATTTGTTCAAATCATGACCCCCAGTGGTAGGGTTAGGCCACAATGGACGATCAAAGTTTTACATAGGAATATATAGGAAAAATCTTCAAAAATCTTCTTCTCAAGAACAGCAATGCTATGATTGGTCATATTTATATGGAAGCATCCTCAGGTGGTGTAGATTCAAGTTTGTTAAAATCATGACCCCCAGTGTAAGGGTGGGGCCAAAATGGACGTTCAAAGTTTAACATAGGTGTACATAGGAAAAATCTTCAAAAGTCTTCTTCTCAAGAACAGCAAAGCTATGATTGGTCATATTTATGTTTAAGCATCCTCAGGTAGTGTAGATTCAAATTTGTTCAAATCATGACCCCCGGGGGTAGGGTGGAGCCACAATGAACGATCAAAGTTTTACACAGGAATATATAGGAAAAATCTTTAAAAATCTTCTCAAGAACAGAAAAACCACGGTTTGTCATATTTATATGGAAGCATCCTCAGATAGTGTAGATTCAAGTTAGTTCAAATCATGACCTCCAGGGGTAAGATGGGGCCACAATGAAAGTTCAAACTCGTAGAGAAAAAAGTCACAGTTAGTCAAAAAATTATGTAAGCATCCTTAGTTAGTGTAGATTTTATTTTTTTTCAAATCATAACCCCCCCCCCCCAGCTCCCTTTTAGGGGTAGGTTGGGACCACTTATGCATTTAAGCTTTTCAAAACTAAACCGATTTTTCCTTTTTTCCTAGCCACAGTGCTCAAGTGAGCGATGTGGCCCCTGGGCCTCTTTGTTTTGTTTTTTTTTTTGGGGGGGGGGGGGGTGTAAGTTTTGGAAATAAATAAGTGTACATGCATTCATGAATCGCGATCGAAGAGCACTAAACGCACATAATGAGGTACCAATTGCAAGATACTCTCAGTCTTGCATTTGTAAAACTCACGAGTACTAGTATATAGTTTTGTTTAACATCATTTCTGATAATTTTATAACAAGCTGGCATTTCTTTGATGTCACGGGCACTTTTGTTTAAAGAAATATAATTTGATTTTGGTGTAACGCATCATTTGATTGGATAAAAAATTTGAATAAATTGTATGACCTGGGTTGCCTACGTCACAATGACTTACGTCAAAAACGTATCAATCCGCTCGACGTTACATTTAAAATACGTACAATTTGAAGGCATTTTTGAAGGAGAAATTGTCTTATTTTTTACATTTAATGATGGAAAATTAAATTATAAGGAATGAATTTAATAGCTAGCCAAGTTATACTGGTATAACCTGGGTTGGAACAGTTTACGCTTTTTTATAAACCGCTTCGCGGTTTATAAAGCGTAAACTGCCCCAACCCAGGTTATACTAGTATAACTTGGGTAGCTATTAAATCCATTCCTTAAATACTACAAATGTATGCAAGGGCACGTAAATTAGGACTGAACTCACATCGCGTCCACACTTCGTTCAGTGAACCCCAACATGCATATTGTGGACTAAGTAATCAGAGTGCTTTATCCGATCGTCATGATATCATTCTCTTATGGTAAATATGCAGAGTGGGCACAACCTGGATGATACATTGTGAGTTTAAGTTGTGGTCAGACAGCGGAATTCAGCTGGCCTGTCGATATTCATGGGGACTTGGTTAAAATCCCCGGCAAATCTGCCGTCCCCCTCCCCTTCATGTTACAGTTTGGACATCATTGATGATTCTGGGGGATTTTGGAAGGGTAATAGGTGAAGGGTGGATATGGTGCATGTTCAGACAGCTTTGCTGACTTATTTTCAGATACCTCAGTTGGTAGCTCCCTGTTTAGCTTTTAAGGGATTCGGGTAGGAATCATCGTATTTTCTCCCTTCCCGTATTAACTGGTTGAATAATTTTACCCAGTGTGATTAGGTCTTCATTTTCCAGTATTCCTATTATTCAATTTCCATACATGGAAGTTAGTAGATTTCTGTTCAAGCATCTTTACATTCAGGGACCATATTCTCCATAATCAATACTCAACGAACCCCTCTTCTCTGAACTCTAGTTGGTTCAAGAAATACTGTCATGTGTGTGATTTTACTAGTCTTACACGTGTAATTTATTCAAACACAGTATAAAAGAACGTAAAATAAAAAAATATGTATGAAGAAAACAATCTACTTAGATAATTTAAATCAAGCTTTTCGCTTTTGGCATTTGAATTCGATTCACGTTTTCATTACTTGAAACAAAATAAGTAAAAGATGCCAATGAATTATTGAGAATAGTTTTGGGATACATGCGTTGAAAAAAAAAGGTGGGAAAATTTTTCATAGAGGAGAATAAAGAATTAAAGTCTGTAAACTTATGATCTAGAGTTAAATATTTCTTCCTTTTTGGAAAAGACTATCAAAATTTTGAAGAAAAAAGGTGGGAAAATTTTTCATAGAGGAGAAAAAAGAATTAAAGTCTGTAAACTTATGATCTAGAGTTAAATATTTCTTCCTTTTTGGAAAAGACTATCAAAATTTTGAAGAATCGAAATATGAGTAGAACATACGAGGTAAGTGGGCAAAAAATGCTTATTTTGATGGATAAAGTGAGAATATTTGTAAATTGGCTGGTACTTTGAGCAGCAGAATAGATTCTTTAAGTTTCTCTTCAACCCATGCTTTCAGAACCTCACAAGTTACAACATAAAAAAAAATAGAACAACGACCTAAGATCTGTTGGTTACATGTATATGACCTCTAGGCAACTGACCCAAAGGTAGCTTATCTACAAAGGAATGGGGATCGTCGAGATTATTCTGTGATAGGTAGCTATATACCCGACTTGTGAATTTTAAAGCGTAGTACACATTGTTAGCGGTGTGCCAGTGCCCTACTGAACTTTCAAATGAATCAAAATATTTACGTTCGCTTGACATATGAAACGAAGTTCATCCACGTGTTTATTCAACATGAAGGAAGGAATGAAAAGGATATGTTATATATCGAAATAAATCAATTCCATTCCTCAATGTGCACTGCTATAAATATTAATATTCTGAACATTAACAAAGAGCAAGGTGAAAAAAACCCATTACATGGAATAATTTAAAATGAAAGTAATATATTTAACACTTGATATCTTTATTGCATAATAAACGAAAAGTTTTTTTTTCTTATAACATACCTTTTTCACAAATTCAAAAGTCTCCCCGATGATTGGATAACCTAACGTTCCTGGAGGCAAAGGTTTTGTAGTGCCTTCAGAATCACAATTGAATGTAATGTAAAAATACCACAACTTCTTAATTAACCAGGGAAAGGTGAAATAAACTCCAAGAAGAATAAAAAGCCACTGAATGCAGACACTGTTTAATAGGCTGTCAAGAGAAAGCACGTGTTGGCCCATCGTCAGGAATATGAATGAACGAAATATAGTACAACTCGTACGGATATAAACAATGTGACGTCATTTTATGGGTTCACGAAAATATAAGATCACAGTGACAATTCACAAAAACGATTTTTTTTTCGGTACAGTAAGCTAAGGACATGGGTTAAAACGAGGTCAGAGTATTTACTACCGATGTCAGCAGTCATATCGATCGATTTAGTGCTATAAACATGGAGACGTTAAAACATACATCACATGATACTGTTAAAAAAGTATTAACCCTGTTTAATCACGGGTATTTGCGCGTGAACTTTGAACAGCATCATAAGTACATACAATAAAAAACGGGGGGAAATTATGTAACACCTCAACTGCCTTATGTGCATAACATGTTTGATGATACGTGCCATGTCTTTTTATAGTCATGTGCAATGTCAAGGTATCATTACGTAATGTAAAAGTATATATGAAATATGGAAAGCCGCTGGGTACCCCCACATTATTATTATTCCCCCCCCCCTATATTAGTATACCAAAATCATCATATAATGAAGAAATACATGTATCAATCAGAACTTATAAAAAAAACTAAATGATTGTCGTTTTATATTGACTCTTTGACATTACATCCTGATTCATCTTAATTATATATGATGGTATTTAAGTTTTGAATTATACACTGACTGAGATTTTATGCTGATATTGCTTCATTACGAATGGGACGTACAATCAAAATACAATCATTCAATATGATGATTCTTTTATGATGTGACGATTATTTGGGATTTTTCTTACAAAACATTACAATACATTTATTGACAGGATTCGAAGGCAACATGCGTTTTGACGGACCCAAGAATCAAACTGTTTGTCTTGGGCCGTTAGGCCGAAGGCAAACGGTTTGGTTCTAGGGGTCGACAAAACGCATTTTGCCCGAGGCACACAGTTAATAAATGTTTTGTTATACCTTTTATTTTTTATGCCCCCGTAATCAAAGATTCGGGAGCACATAGTTTTTGTCCTGTCCCTCCGTCTGCCTGTTTGTCCGCAAAAATCTTTAACCTTGCCCATAACTTTTGATCGGTTGGAGCTATGGCTTTTATATTTCACGTGTATATTCCTTGTGACAAGACCTTTCTTTGGGTACCAACATTTTTGACCTTAGAGTTTGACCCACCTATGCAAAATTTTACCAAACCTTAACCATGACTATAACTTTTGAATGGTTGGTGCTAGGGCTTTCATACTTCACATGTGTATTCCTTGTGATAAGATCTTTCCTTGGGTATACAATTTTTGACCATGGAGTTGGACCTTCTTTTAAAAATTTTTAACTTTAAAAATTGGCCATACATGTTGCTTTTACACACTTGGTGGAAAGGCTTTCATATTTCACATGTATATTCCTTGTGGTAAGATCTTCTTTTGGGTACCACTAATTTTGACTTTGACCCTGGAGTTTGACCTACTTTTGAAAACCTTTAACCTTGGCCATAACTTTTGAGTGGTTGGAGCTAGGGCTTTCATATTTCACATGTACGAGGGGTTATCAAAAAGTTCGTGGACTGATGTGATAAAATTAATACTATGTAGTCTGTGCTTACAAAATTTATGAAAAACATAAATCAACAAAAGTTTAAGAAATGTTGAAAATTTTAGCTTAATAAGTTGATAATTTGCCAAATTATTCTAAATTAAAAAAGACATTGTATGATCACCCGGCGCTGTCGCCGTTTAGTTTCATGACGTCCGACAACGTCATTGTTTCTCAATGTCCACTCCGTCTACCTTATACACTTATCTTAAAGTGATTACTTGGAGTTAAGTAAGTACTTTAGCCCGTCTTGTTTATGTGACTTTACAATGTCATGAACAGCTGCTTTCAATGCATATAATATTGTAAATGTATCTATATATAAGGAAAGATCCTCACTTGATTATGCCAGAATACTTAGCTTGTTGGAGTTCAATTTCTACCACACATGATCAATGTCACTTTTCGACGTGACTGATTTTTGACACCATGACTACAAATTGACTTTAACTGTGCATCTTTCATCTCTCTGAATCTTTTTGGGTATTTAAAACGAGTACTCTGGGTGTATCTTATTTTTCTGTAGCCGATTTAAACATTCTCTGGGTCTATACCAGTTTTTCCAGGTGCGAAACTTTAAAGAATGTTGGAAACAGAAACCCCTCCCCCTTTTTGACGTCATTTTCAAGTCCTTAATTGTTTGGATTCTCCATATAAAATTTACGATAAAATATCATAGAATTTACAGAATGGGGTAAAAATTGAAAATTTTACGGAACAATTGTGTTGTATCACATGCCTGAATTAACCGGATTTTTGGACGACAAATGCTCATATCAAAAGAGTTTTTCTCAGTTAAACTCAGGTAGAAAAAACGTCATATTTGAGGTTGCGCCGCTTGGACATACCATTGCTTACAAAAACATTAACAATTTATTAAAAAAAATTATTTTATGATTTACGGTTTATTCTATAGATAGAAAAGATGATGCTAACTAAATGTATTAAAAGTCATTGATGTATCTAAAGCGGTTTTAATTTTATGGCGCAAGTCCACGAACTTTTTGATAACCCCTCGTATATTTCTTGTGACAAGACCTTCCCGTTAAATTTGATCTATTTTGAAAAAGTTTAACCTTTACCATAATCTTAAGCTTTGAATAGTTGGTGTAAGGGCTTTCATTTTTCACAGGTGTATTCCTTGTGACAAGACCTTTCTTTGGGTACCAACATTTTTTATCTCTTGACCTTTGAGTTTGATTTGCATTTGAAAAACTCAAAACCTCGCCACGCGATGCCATACGGGGGCATCAGTGTTTCACATACACATCTTGTTTGATATGTTTCTTGTGCTGTCTTCCATGAAAATTTAAATCTTCTACCCACATTGCAGTAAAACTCGTTCAGTTCTGCCGATGTCGAACACCAATGAATGCAAATAAGATTTAGCTTATCTCGCCCACATTGTCACGTAAGCGGTCCAATATTTCATCGACGCTGTGATCAAACATCAATTATTTTTTACGAGCGCTCAGTAAAATATTGGAAATGTTAAAATTTTTTAGTATAAATTTATTTAGGAACTAATTTTTAAAGGTATAACAAAATATATTGGTGATTTTTTGTTTTAAAAAATGAGAAAAAAAAAGCCCAGGCTCATTTCAACATGTATGGATGGCATGTTTTGCAACACTGGAAAAAATTGCTGGATATTGTTTGTAAGCTGTTTCTTCAAGAATTTGAAGCCCTTTGCGGACATGTTGAAACTTATAATTGAATGTGTCTGAAAACAAAAATCATCACACGGAGAATTTCTTTTTTGTTAAATCTCAAGTCTCTTTTTCAGGATCGTCTTGTTTTCATTTACGAAAGCTCGTTTTTACTCCATGAATTCAAAGAACATCATTTCATTCTGCGATATATTTCTGATATTACTAAGATTTTGCTATGTCAGCTATCAGAAAGTCATTTTCAAGCAAATTTTCTAATGTCGATTTTTGAAAATCAAACATAGTTAAATTGGTCCTGTGTCATCTTTAATTGGGTTTAATTGAGATCCCTTATACTTTTATAACGCAATCGATCCCAGATTACATAATATCAGCTCCAGTTAAAATAAAAACGACTTCTATAATTCACGGAAAGATAATTTACAAACAATACTTTCTCTTTTAAGATACTGATAATCATGTGGCAAATGCAGTTTTTCCAATATATGCAAAGTGTTTTCAATATGTGCTGAAATAAGCCTCATGTCTTCCTTTATAGAGGTTTGGGTTGTAAAAAAAAATCGCTTAATATTTTAAAGCAATATGAGCTGCAACTTTAATGTCAGAAATTTTTGTTGCAAAATTGTAATTAAATATTTCAATGACAGGAAAAAGAACGTTTATAAACTTTTGTTGTTTGTATTTTGCGATGAAAGAACTGTTTATGAGCTTTGATTGAAGCAAAGTTACATTATTGTCGTCCTGTACAATATTGATTTCTTATATTTAATACTACACATTTGATTATACAAAATCCTTTATTCTGAAACAATTTGATACCTTATTTCTGTCTCATTGATCAAAAAGGTTAAAAATACATACAAATTTTTCATAATAACACAATTTAAAAGCAAAATAAAATTTTCAAAAATGCAACTCATATTGCTTTAAATTTCATCAGAAAAAGACAAATTATTGTTAGACCTTAAATCTATACTTTGAAAAAAGTCTAACATATCCAATGTTTTACTGAGCGGTCATTAAAAAAAATCGATGTTTGTCCGCAGAATGAAATTGGACCGCTTACGTCACGCTGTGGGTGGCATCAGCTAAATTTTACTGGCATGCATTCAGTGACAGAATTGACAGAATTTCACCGCAGTGCTGGTAAAGGAAATTAGCATCATGGAAGTCAGCATAAGATGCATGTTTGTCCGAAAAAAAAGGGTTTCACAAAACATATATTGACCGTGTTCTCGGGCAAAATGCGTTTTGTCTACCCCTCGAATCAAACTGTTCTTGGGCCCGACAAAACGCATTTTGCCCTCGATCTCGGTCAATAAATGTATATGATTAAAAAGTATGCTCATATAACGTCAAAGTATCCGCATGTAGTGTCAAAGGATCAGCGTATAATATCAAAGTTCTATCAAATAATTGTGGAGAAACTCGTGCCTCTGTATGACAGCTCAGTGCCAAGGTTAAAGCCTTTCAAAAGTTGTTTAAACTCCAAGGTCGAATGTAAGTACCCAAAGTTCTTGTCACAAGGAATACACTTGTGATATACAGACCTGCCTACTTTCACTATCTACTAATTTTTACGATTTTTGACCCCTTAAATACCCTTTACGATTTTTAAAATGCCAAAACTCCCGATGTTTGAATTTCCAACTTTGTCAGTTTTAAAATTATTGCTTTGAAAAATGAAGCATAAGAGACGTGTGAGAGAGAATAGTCAAACAGTCCTCAAGTTTCAATATCAAGATATCCAATGGACAGGAATTCGTATAAATGTCAAGAACAGGGTAGTGTCGTCATGTCGAAGTCGAGTATCTTGTTGATAAACTGTAAATGTCTTCTAAGTACAAAGGTAAGTATCTATCTTATGTGAATTAACTCTTTTATTTTCTGCATTGAAAGTAGGAAATATTCACTATTAAAGCAAGATCTTATGGACAAATTTGTAGAAAACTACAGTTTACAATCGTCTGGGGTAGGGAGGTCTGGAAGTATGAAAGCCTTAGCATCAGCCGTTCAAAAGTTTGGGCCAAGGTTAAAGTCTTCAAACAATAGGTCAACATTCAAGGTCATGAGGACAAAAATATACCCAAAGAACGGTTTTGTCACAGGTAATATACATGTGAAATATGAAATCCCTAGAACCAAAAGTATGGAAGTGGCCAAGGCAAAAGTTTTTTTACAAGTCGATTTAGAAGTCATGACGTCAAAAATGTTGGTACCCAAAACAAAAGTCTTGTCACAAGGAATACACATGTGAAATATGGAAGCCCTATCACTAAATGTTCAGAAGTTATTGCCAAGGTTAAAGTTTTTTTAAGTAGGTCAAACATCAAGGTCATAATGTCAGAAATGTTGGTACCCAAAGAAATGTCTTTCACAAGAAATATACATATGAAATATGAGAGCTTAGCACCAACAGTTCAGAAGTTATGGCCAAGGTTAAAGTTTGTTTGAATCCTGGATCAAGAGGTAAAAATATTGGTACCCAAAGAAGAATGGAAGCTTATCACAAGAAATACACATGAGAAAGTGAAAGCCCTAGCACCAACCTTTCAAAAGTTATGGCCAAGGTTGAAGATTAGTTTTATTTTTTCAAAAGTATATCAAACTCCAAGATCAAGGTCATGAGGTCAAAAATGTGGGTACCCCCCTCCCCGGAACAAAAACTATCTTTCCGCGAATCTCTGAATACGGGGGCATTAAAAGATCAGCATATATTAGACAACTTTTAATAATTATATATATTGCTTGGCACTCTGGCTTTTGCAAATTACCACGGTTACCAATCTCGTGAGCCTTGACCTTTGACCTACTTTTAAAATAGTTCATTGTACCGATATACAGCATATTTCTCACATTTAGGAGATGAGTCCATGCTATTTAGTATGTGCACTGTTTGTCATAAAACATTATGAAAAAGACCAGCGTTACAATCTACTTGACCTTTAACCTACTTAGCAAAAAATACCCCGGACAGTTTAATTTAACTCATGTCTATTGAATTTTGAGAGGCAGGGTTTTGATAATTAGCATTCATACATGTTCATGAGCTCATAACACTGTACTTTAAAACTGTGTGATATTCCAATAATTGAAGGGCCTTAGTGCCTTTATATGATGCGTGGTAATGCCGTATACCTCCTCTGAATCAAATTTATAGGAAATACTAACTAAAACTATATTTTTGTTAATTTTTCTTTAAAAAAACCAGGGATTATCATCGTTGGATATCTGTTTAAAACTCCTGGTAATGCATGCTGATATTTTGTCTAAGAACATCTGATGGTACTATGAATTTAAATTAAGAATATCTTGGAAAATTATCAGTGGGAAAGGTACATTGAAGATTACATGTACATGTACATTGCGTATGTCCTTTTAATCGTAATTTTGAGTTGTGTATCAGACTATGTAAGAGTACAATAAAGTTCCTCTCTTTTGGTAAATTCTATTTGCGTTATAAAATAAGTAGCAGTACCGGTATAACTTAAGATAGCCGTTGTTTTCCCAAGAAATTTAGGGGGGAAAATTATATGTACAGCACACAAGTAAGCTATGTTTTTGATTGTGGTTATTTTATTTAAAAATTCTCTATAGACTTGCACATTGCTGTCGGCACAGGATCTTTAGATCGCTTTAATCCAACTGACAAACGAGGGGTATTAAAAAAATTACATCTCCCGTTTGTCAGTCAGATTAAAACGATCTAAAGGCCTGTGGCTGTTGGCAAATGATCAAAGTTTTGAAAATGGGTCTAAAATCTCTTCCAGTTAGTAATATTTCTTAATATTATTGTTATCAATGTAACACTTTTTACGAGTTCATAGCTGAAATAGTAGAGATAAGAAGGACAACTCTTTCGTTAAGCGAATGCATTTTAGGACTCTTACTATCATGAATTTTAAATTAGCTTGTTGTTGGTTTTATAAGATTTTTTTCCATAAAAACGTGCAATTGATTTATGCACACTCACGTCAGCAGATTCATATCTTACTATATGACCCATTATTATGAATTAAGGTATGAAAATTATTGTGTCTTATAAAAGTAATTCATTCAAATGCAGCAGAAAATATCAATTTATTTTTTTTTCTCCTCACAATCGGAATATCACTAACATACATGCATGTATAATAAGTAAATAATTCTAAAGAACTATACAGTATAGTGTGTACATTGATTTTGGATCAGAATTTGAAATGATTCTCTGAGAGATTCTAGAAAATAAAAAAAAATAATTATTTATGTTTGAATAGTTCATTTTTAGTTTTAATTTGAACTTAAAACATATTCTGTCCATCGTTTAATATCGATTTTCATACCAGAGAATTTTATACTAGTTAACTAAATTGCTAAGTTGAAGGTTTTGAAAGTTTTCACAATCATATATACCCGGTCATAATTTAGATCATTGAAGAAGGAAATTTAAATACACCGAATACAACGCATTGAAAGGTTTTTGACTAAATCAGCATACTTCAATAAAGTAGCAGTTATTTAGAAAACTTACTTCTATGTACATCTGAAAAAAATCTTCTCTTTTTGAGAGATATTTTGAGGACTTATTCTGTTTAATGAGTTTTGTCATTTGAAATTGCTTCCCTTGCCTTGAGTGAGTCAGTATATATATCTGTGTCAACACTCAATCATTATACTCGGTGAAAATGCAGCGAGTGTTTGTGTATGGGACGTTGAGGAAAGATCAACCTAATCACCACCTCATATCGAATGGTATTCAGTCCGGGGATTGTCAGTTTCAGGGTTTGGGAGTAACTGAGACAAAATACCCACTCGTTGTAGCGAGTCGATACAATGTTCCATTTTTACTGGATGCACCAAATGTACCTAACGCTCAAGTAAGTCAAAGTATGGAGCGCTATTACTGTCATAATTAAATCATAACCAACTATCCCAATCCTCATAGTTTTATGGTTGATCTGAATAATTTGAGACTATATCAAGTCATTTGGTTCTCCTCATAGGTACACAATTTTGCCACTGTTTCTAAATACATTTTTAATTTAATATGTCGCTTTTCTTTTATTGTCTAATCAGAATAAATCAATTATGTTTAAAATTTAGACTGATTAACGTTTACATACAAAATATAAATCTTTTCATCAATTTTCATTTCCAGTGATTCAATTGCATAGTAATTTGCTACGGTTTCTAAAAATTGAAAAAATCTTAATATTGAAATACTTCAGAATTTATTTTAATATACTGGTTCATTCTTAGTCTAAGTGTTAACCTAGTTACTTTTCAAAATCTGAAAATAAATGTTATTAGATTTAGTGTACTTTTTAGGGCTGTTTCACGTCCAAATCATTAAGTTACTGTTTTTCAATAGACTCTACTTGACACATATATTTGTAAAATCTTGAAATGGTGGGTACCTGCTGTCACACTAATTAATCTGGCTTAAAAGCTAGTTTTGACGCCATTCGAGTGTGTATTTTACAGTATAGCTGAACTTATTCCTGGATAGATCCGAAATCCCAAACCTGCTAAAATAGTAACAAATTTGAACATTAATAAAAATGTGGAAGTTTTCTTATCCTTTTAGTGATGCTAATGCAAATATAATCTATATCAAATTGCCCAATTATTTCATTATCCTCATCAATGATTATTATTTGGTTGTAATCAATCTCTCATTTTATTCTCAGAATGTTGAAGGAGAGGTGTACACAGCTAACGAGAAGATGATGGGTATCCTTGATGGGCTTGAGAGACACCCCGATTTCTATACTCGCTGTGAAATTTCTGTTCTTTTTAATGATAAGCCAGAGAAGGCATGGTGCTATTTAATGCAGAAATTTCGACAACCTTTGCTACAGTTACCGTTCAATCGAAAATATGATTCCAAAGAGCATGCGCCTTACTTGGGTGGTGACAAGCGACCAATAGGAGAGGAAGCGAGACGGAACTTCATGGCAGAGATTAAAGAAAATTTATAATGCAGATGTTGTTTTAAAATTAAAATTTAATTATTACAAAATTTATCATTTGAGACGAAATTGGCATAAATATTTCCATATCCAACTGTGTACAAAACTTACGTAAAATTATGAAACTATACACTGTGTATAAATTGTTCATCATGTGTATCCTCTGTATCTATTTTGTTTGGAAATCATGTACGTGATAACCAGTTTAGGTATATACGTCGTAAAAGTCAAATCAATAGGGGAAAATGTCGCTTAAATGAGCACTACTACAATAAAATAAAAATTAGGTCCTTGACCCTCACAAATATTCTTCACAAAGCAAGTATCCAAGCAGACCAAAGATGATTGAATCTTTACTATGCCATGAAATATACGAACCCCTTACGAAATTTTTTTCTCTTTTGTTTAAATTGAATCATTCAGGCTTAGTTGGTCATATACTGGAAATAACATGAAATATTGGAAAATCTTTTTTTTTTTACTCTTTGACATCAAGCAGTCAAACTATTGGCATAGTTTATATTCAGCAAATCCTTTACATAACTTGTAAAATTCATGGCCCTTGGTTTCGGGGGTTCAGCTTCTAAGGTGGGTCTAACATAGTTATATTTTAAAATTCTTAATATGCTGTAAAATCTTCTTTACTCAACATTATCTAGCAAGCAAATTAGATGGCATAATTATAATGAGAACTCAAACTTTTACCAAAGGTTGAAATGCATGGACTCTAGATCCATAGTTTGGGCTCGAGGGTAAGGCTTAGTTGGTCATATATTGAAAATACAATAAATCTTTGAAAATCTACTTTACTCCTGGATATCAGGCAGTCAACCTAGTGGCATGATTATATTAAGGCCAAATAAAAAAAATATGTGTGGTTCCGGTTACACCTCCAAACAAATTAGGATAGGTAGGTAGGTTTGTTTGTTTGTTTGTTTTTTTTGATATAATAAATGTCAAAAATATCATTGAATGATCTTGAATTAACTGTTGGTGATAATTGGTGAGATAATACTATTGCTTTCTTTCAAGTGGTGACATTTGTAACTGACAAAACACTTGTACTGTGTGTCGAAACGATGTTGTCAAAGAAGGCCACCATTGCTGAAACTAAAACTAATACCGGAGCAAATGAGGGAAATCGGGGAAAATTCCGGAAATTTGAAAATTGCCAAAAAAAGTTTAGGGTCGGGGTATAAAATAGGGACGGTCGGGTAACCGGAACCACACATATTTTTTTATTTGGCCTAAGCAATGAATAACCTACCCAAATAGTGAAATTCATGGCCCTTGAGTTCAGTGTTAAGCCTCCATGGTGAGATTTAATGTGTCAAATATTGAAAATTCAGTTTTAATTTATCAAAGCTTCTTCTTCTTTACTCATAGACACTTGCATGTAGCAAGCAAACTGCTGGTATGATTATAATTAGAATTCAACAGTATACAAGTATACTGAAATTCATGGCTTTTGGGTCCATAGTTCAGGCAAAGGGTTGGGCTTAATTGTTAAAAAATTGAAAATATATATATTAAATCTGAAAAATCTTCTTTACTCTCGCACATCATGCAATCTGTTAGAAACTTAGAATGAATACATCAAGCAATGAGCCGTCTGTGAAAGTCATGACTCTTGGGTTCTCTCTATGTGGCGGGGCTAAAGTGGTTATGTATTGAAAATCCATTAATTAACTAGAAGGCAAATTGTTTGTATGATTATAATGAGCAACTAGCTCCTCTACAAAAATTATAGAAATCATGCCCCCAAGTCCCATTCAGGCTACAGGCCAGGGTGGTGCTAAGTTTATCACATTGAAAGTTATGCAATGTATCTTATATATTGACTTTGCTTCGGCCTTAAGGATACAGGCTGCAAGAATAAAATAATGATTATATAGTCCCCAGTTCTCATCAGACTGTAAAATTTTGGTCACATGAGTCTACAATTTTATGATAGTGCTTACTACTTGTTATAATCATGCAGTTTGCCTTTTGCGTGTGCATGATTAAAGAGGAGAAGTGAATTTTATGGCACGCCGATTGCTTCAAAATTATTTTCTGCACAACGATCACGATTTTATACACGAGCTTGATGAAAAATATACACGAGTAAAATAAAAATGCACGTATCGGTAAAAATTGCACATAGTTTGAAAGATTTTAACACAAACATAACGAAAAATACACGAATCCGAAATTTTTTACACGATTAATGGGTATAAAATGCACAAACGTAAAATCAAAAACTGCACGAGCAGAGGAAACTAAAAATTACACAAACAATTTTACTGCGCACACAGCTGCGCATATCATTATTATGCGCATAGAATATTCATTGTGTTCTTGGTTTTCTGTACTCTTTATCTCTTCTTGAATGCTGGATGTAATCGAGAGAAAATGGCGTTGACGATGATATGCATGTTTGTTTGCTTCTTTATTTCTTTGCTAAAACTCGATCCGATTTTTAGCTTATGCAAATCAAACGAATGAAGTGTTTTCTTGTGAACTGTGTGAAAAAAATTAAAAGTTGTTCGGAGATATTATATTTTTCTGATATTGATCGAGATCCTAGCCAAAATATGGAGGTATTATATGATGCCGGACATAAATTGTGACAAGAAAGGAATCGCATGGTTGTGTTATAATGCGGGGGCGGGGGGGGGGGGGGGGAGTACCATTGCATATGATGCACTCTCGACTCTGAACTAAAAGTAATACACAGTAAACTCTAAATTCCTAACGACAAACAGATCTTGCTTTAAGAAAATGATAGAATTATTAATTTATTTTTTTTTCAAAATATACGCTGTATATGGCCTTTTAAAATTATCTAACTTATAGATACAACTTTAACGGAAATTACTTGTATAAAATAAAATTAACACATGCATAATAAAACGATTAATAAAGTGGATTCTTCATGAAAACGATGACAGACTTACTGCTGATTATAATCATTAAATTGTAGAATTTATTTCGGTACTTCTCATTTGTACTAATTATGATTTCATTTGAGCAGATTTTTTTTTTCATTTAGGAATAGGAAATTATTCAGTTAGCTGGTATATTTTTTATTTTCAAAAAGATTAAAAAGTGGGGATTACCTGACATTAGATATACACAGTATGTTTTTAAAGTCAAATATATAAAAAAAAAAATTCTAATTATACATGTATCTTTACTTATAAAATATGAGGATGTCAATTTTGGTTAGATATCTGTAGCCTACACTGTTATGAATTCCTTCCATGATATCGCATATTTTCAGTCAAAAACTGCTCATTAAAAAACAAGACGTCCCTAAGGGTAAGCGTTACCCTCATTCGTAATGGCGATTACTTGATAAATGTTTTCACTTTTAATAAAAAAGGGCCAGATAAAGAAAAAAAATATACTCTATGTGCTTTATATACATGCGGTTTTGTGTTTTGTTACTTAAAATTTGTCCAAATGAAATAAAAAACTCTACTCAAATGATCCTGGCACCGGTAAAACTAATGACATTAGTGGCGGATCTGGTTCGTGGATTGATTGAGTCGCAACATCTGAATCTATATGTATTTATTAAAGTTTCAAATCGTTGGACCAAAATGACACATCAGAAATTTTAAAACAGTGAATTACTAAATACATCTACGTACAATGTTACAAATAAGAAAATGGGAATGGATATTATAATAAAGAGAAAGAACATAGAACGTGTTTTATCGCTCTTGAAAATGCAAAGAAATCATGTTCTTTATGGAGCTCGAGGTTTGACAAAGATTTTCCAAGATAACAAATTTATTTACATTTCGAATTTGTATGCATAAAATTTTAATTATTATCCGAACACTTGTTTTTTATAATAACACTTTTTTACCCAAATCTATAGTCATTATAAAAAGAACATGACTGTATAATTATAAAATGAAAATAATCTTCAATAACATTCAAGGAACATATATGATAAAGCTCCACTTTTTATAAGATTATTCATGTGCATATCTAACATTTTTGAAAATTCAGATTATGAGTTAAAAAGACTAATCTATGCAATATGAATTTTGTACGTATATATGTACAAATAATTAAAAAGTTTGCTTTATATTGTACATGTGTATCAATGGCATCAACCAGGTCTTGTTTTACTTTGAGCATGACTACGAATAAATATAAGAAAACATATGATGAATATAAACCTCAAGAAATTTTTGTTTTATTACCGTGTGCAAATTTATTATTGTCAAAATCTGCATTGAAAATAAATATGCATGTGTAGCCAAGTCCCAAATAATTAAGTTCATCTTGTACATCTTCTTGAATTTGGTCTTACAATATCGTTACAAATCAGTTAAATTGCAATCCTGATTTCGATAGACTATTATATGTACCCTTAAATTCTTAGAAAATATTACAGGCACGTAGCATCAGTAGGGGCCGCCCCCCCCCCCACTTTTTTCCAAACATAACCTACTTCTATTGTAAATGTCCACTGAAAAAGCTGGTCCCCCCCCCCTTGTTGTAGGATAGTTTAAATCAAAGTAATTTGGTATTATAATGTGTTTCGAATCAAAGTGGAAGGTGGACCCCCCCCCCTCCCCCCACGAAATAGGATTTTCGAGTTCGGACACTTTACCTTTTTTGTTGCTTGTCAAGGTTTTTTTCAAGTAGGCTGTCAAAAAAAAAAAAAAAAAATTTGGCTGCCCCCCACCTTTCAAAAACGATACTACGTGCCTGTATTTTATAATTTTAAATTTTCTTCACTCCTTTATATGCATTTTAACTATTCAAAATAGACTACCGCCGGTACATTAAAAACAACATAAAATTAAGCTTTAATTCACATAAGTAAAACGACGTATAATTTTTCTACAGTTTCATGGAGTTTTATGAAATCACCACACGTTGCTCAAAAGTTAAGACTACATGTACTACTTTGTTACATACATAAATTTTATCAAAAAGTGAGATATGTTTCAATATTAAAATTTCAGTTGCGCAATTATTTGCTCGATTTTCTTTACTGTTGACTTCCAAAAAGTTTTCGGTCAAATTCCACAACCCAGATGAT